GGGGGGGGGGGGAGGGAGCGTGCTCATGTTTTGCATGCCGTAGTTGCTAGACCATTGACAGCATTGACAGGGGGGGAATTCTCATGATCTTAGCGTGTGTGGCATCCCTGCAACGTCCAGTTCGAGAAGGTCGGGGAGCGGGGGGGTTGCGTACCCATGATTGGTATGCCTTAGTTGTTGGGCCATTGGCCGCATTGACTAGGGACCAACGCCATAGATGAGGAGACGTTTGCGCACTGTTGGCGGGATGGCGGGGTGCAAGGTGTTGGGGTTGTGTACTATAGCAGCAGCTGCTGCACCCCTCGACGCCTGCCAACACCCTACCGTACTCTCTCGCTTGACACGGAATGTTATCGGAACCTATCGTAGCAGCTCCCCTGACAAAATGTATTCCGCCCACAGTCCCAGCACCACAAAAACAACACATGCAGGAAGAAAGAACACTTTACAATACTCATCTGACACTTCTAAGCGGGTGGTGAGTCTACACGTGTACTGCGGTCCCCTGGCCGGCAGTCAGACACGACAACACGAGGAAGTGTTGGGCGGGACCACCGGCCGCCGCAGGAGGCCTCACCAATTTCCCAAAACGTATATCAAATGTTCCGCACTGAGACACGGGAACAGGTGGGCAAACATGAATACCAACACCCACCTGAGAGCTCTCTGCAGTTCCCCCCTGGTGCGCAATGCCTCATCCACCTTGACTGCCGCCTCGTCCCTCTCCGCTTTGACCTCTTCCAGCGCTCGAGTCAACGACGCAGCCTTATCGCGAAAGGGAAATGGGTGGACAAGAAGAAAACACGGTGCCGCGGGAGGAGAAGGAAGAGGAGGAGGAGGGGGTGGAGTGTTCGAAAGGCACCTGAGTGCAGCCAATCCGATGATGTTTTACCACATGACTCGATATTGCGTGTCGTGAACGAAACTCAGCCTCGAGCCATGGGGTATCAAACAGCGTTGCCCTTTCGTGGAACAAACACGCTCTCACCCGGCCTCATACAACAACAACTTCTTCCGGAGCACCCAATCGATGACTAGAGTTTTACCTGCTCCGCCGCGAAGACCACCATTTTCTTTGCCACAGAAGGCAATCGCTCAAACGGCGGCACGAAAGCCCATCAGAGCTTCACCCAATCCGCTCTACTCTACACCTCTTCACTCGACAGCGCGTGCACACACACACACACCACGCCACCGACAATCACCTTCGCGTGGGCGTCTCGCAGACGCAGCAGGGTTCCCTCCGGGTCTAGCCCACCGAAATCCGCCTCTGCTCCCGCGGGCATCGCGTACGCCGCCACCAGCAAGCGCTTTTCCTCCTCGCTAAACCCGCCGGCGGTGCCCGTCGCCGCGCCGCCGGCTCTGCCAGCACCGTTGCTGCCGCTCTCGCCGCCGGTGGCTGTCTTCCCTGCTCGACTAAGACCGCCGCCGCCGCCACCCTCACGCACCACACCATCATCCATCCCAAACCTACCACCGTCGACACGGCCTTCCTCTTCCTCGCGCCCGTCAGCGAGCAGCAGGGCGCGAGTCTCCGCCTCCGCCTTGGCCTCCTCCAGCGCCCGCGCCGCCGCCTCGGAGGCCCCCAGCTTGCGCTCCAGGTGCCGGCGGTCTTCGCGAAGGCCCGACACGAGGCGACGGAGACCCGCGGCCTCGAGCTTGGCGGCGCGGAGCTCCTCGCTCAATGAGAGGAGGCGCCGGGCCGCCGTCTCCACGGCGGCGCTCGCGTAGGCGCCGTCCGCATACCGGTGCTCATTGTTGTTGTCGGCGGAGGAGGAAGGGGGCGACGGCAACGACCCACCGTCGATGCTATTGCCGCTACCGCCGACCGCGTGGTTGTCGTCGTCGTTGTCCCTTGATGCCGTAGCCACGCCGCTTGATCCACCACTGACGGCGGCAGCGGCGCGATTACCCGGGATGACGAGGCGTTTCAGGTCTGCGACGAGGGTTTCTAGGTCGCGGCGGCGTTCCTCCGCGGTCTCGGCGTCGACCTCCGCCGACCGGCGGGACAGCTCTGCGGCCCTAAGGCCGGCCTCGCTTGTCTGCTCGCAACGCACGCACACCCAGTACAACAAATGGCGGAATATGACACAGAGAACAGTGTCGGGTGTGCATCAATGCAACAAGTGGCGGAACGTTACAGGAGATACAGCAAGTGTGGCAGGCGGGAGGCAAGCAACAGTAGCGGAGCTCGGAAACGCGCGCGGCCAAGTTTCACCACGGAAATTCCGTGTCAGTTGCATCAATATGTACGGTGTTAGGACGTACTGCCCCAGCAGAAATTAGAACTTTCTGTTTTTTTCTAGGCGAAAGAGAACAACGAGTATTAGTACTGTTTGTTGCACGAGGTATCGCACGCTCCTGACACGTGGTCGATACCTTAACCTCGACATCTCGGGTAGCAAAGGCGTCGTGTAGACACCGGACGGTGCACCTTGGCCAAGGCTCGATAGACAAGTCCTTTTCCAGAGATTCCGCCTTCCGAAACACAAACCAACCCTCCCTTCGGTGCTTCATCGAGACTGTTAAAAGAAGGCCCACAGGCGAAATGGTTCGCCCCGGAGATCGCTGCCGTAGCACGTCATTTGATAGAAGGCTATTCCGTTAGACACAAATTATGTTGGATAAAGGCTAATCCATTAGACTACAAAGTCAGCGCTTGTCCACAAGACCTAGTCTTTATCCAACAGAAACATCGTGGCACGAAGATCGAATGCATCATAAGTGGTTGTTGTCTGTCGCTGGTGATAAAAAAAAAAATCGTGCACCTCGAGAGCGGCCGTGAGCTCCGACACCCTGGCGGCTATCTCCCTTGCGCGAGTTATCGTCAGCCCGCGCTCGGGCCCGGCAGCCCCGTCCGGCCCGGTGATACCGGCGTCGGATCCCGATTTACCGTCCGCGAAGTCGATCAGAGCACCCTTCAGGGCAGCCACCTAGTAGTGAAACGAAGGCAACACCCGGGGGGGCGTTTTTCGTGTTTAGCATGTAATAGTTTTTCGACCATCGACAACGCGTCCTCGTGAGGGATGGAGCATTATTCCCAACAGGATCGATCACCGATGGCCAATCATTATGTCCGGGGGGCGTCGGGGTACACGAGGAGTTTAATAAGGGTGGCATTTGCGGGGTATTGGGGGGGGGAAGGGGGGGAGGGGGTCCTTGGCCGTTCGCCTGTAACATGCTCAAATGACAGTCGACGGTTGTGCATGTTCGATGTAGCGGTTCCGAGACCGAATCCGACCGTACACTCGTGGGCACGAGACGGCACGACGCACCTCGTGCAGCTCGCGCTTGTCTTGCCAGTTAAGCCCCAAGCCAAGCTCTAACCCAACTGACACTACGCACAGACCTTCTCCTGGCTCCTCTCGTGCAGATCGTGCAGAGCGTCCTCGCGCTTGTCCAGCCTCGACTCCAGCACCCGGAGCAGGGCCGTCTTTCGGCGAAGGTTGGCCTTGGTCATCTCGTGCTTTCGCGCGAACGAGCGATAAGCCACCTACGTCGTCGTCGTCGTCGTCGTTGAAGATCACGCAAACATTCGGTGTGAGGCCCTCCCCCTACCGTGGCTCTACGACGGAGAAGGTTGCAGTGAGCACGTGCCAGCTGGGGATAAACAGCCAAAACAAAACAGTGGTCGCTAGTAGTAGGGGGTTCTTATTCGGTGCTGTGCTTGCCTCTTTGGGGCTAATCCGTACGACGACGGCGGGAACCTATCCCGGTGGAACCTGACCACGCGCGCGAGATCTTCGCTGAAGCTTCACCTTCGTCGCCGTGAGCTTTCTCTGAAGCTGCCCGATGAGGCGGTCGTCGTCGCTCCGGCTCTCCAGGTCGGACACGGTTTTCCGCAGCTCAGCCAGCTCGTCCTCTGTGTCCTTGCGCTAAGGAGAAGCCGGGACGACAAGAATTCCAAAGAAAGAGTCAAAGGGAAAACCGTCATCACATGAAGAACGAACAAGAGTCGTCCTCTGCACCCTTGCAGCTAGAGAGTCTGGAATGATAGAGAAAGAACGGAGTCATTTTTTGTACCCTTGCGCTGAGGGAAGCCGGCTCGATGAAAAAAGAGAGACAAGAGGCCGGGGGTGAGAAACATCAACAACAGAAAATAGCAGTTGCGATACGACTACTACAGCAACAGCGCGAGTCATGGCACCAAAACATCGGTTGCAAGCAAAATCCCTCTCACCCCCTCCCCCCCACGCGTTCGCCATCACACGGAACCCGAGCCCCCTGATTCACGTACTTGGTGGTTCAGGGCAAGCGTCTGCTCGGAAGCGATGTCGGCGATCTCTTTGTGCCGGTCGGCTTCCAAGGCCAACGCCTCCCCCCGTACCAACTCCGCCTCCAGCTTCTCTTCAAGAGACCGCGCCTGCTCGCCGGTTAGGCCGCCCTCGAACCGGTTCTGAACCTGGACCACGGGGAATAGGATAAGAAACAGCGGTGTAGTTAGTGCCGCCGGTTACCACCCTCGAACCGGTATTGAGCCTGGACCACGGGGGATAGGATGGGGAAAAAAGCAGAATACTTGGTGCGTGCTGCGGGAAGGAGACCGGGAGGAAGCTCCGAGGAGCAGGAGCGGCGTGTCTTCTGGGAAAGCTCGGCCGCTGCGGTGGGGTTGGGGCGGTACGGTCACCCCGAATAATCCGGCTAGAAACGGAGCGAGCGTAAACGAAGGCGCAGCGCCTCGACTGGCGAAACAGAAACAACGGCGGAGAGAAGAGAGGATAGTAAGACGTAGCGATTCAGTTGGCAAAGGAAACAAATTCTAAAGACAGAGATAGGAGATACGGAGGATAGAGGCGCAGAGACAAGAGACAGAGAGGGAGATAGAGCGGGTGGGAAGAGACACGTGGAGCACCAATGAACCGTATCTAGCCTCCTACCTCCACGAGCGAGAAAGGAGGGTCTGGTGTACATCTCGAAGCAAGGACTACACACAGCGGTCGACTATGCCGTCAGTGCAGAAAAACGAAAAAGTGACCATCGCTTTAGCGGGGAGAAGCTACAGTCACGTACAGCACAGAAGTTGCTGGTCCCCCCACTGATGTCTATCTGGTGCCCTGCGGAAACGCCGAAAGCACCCAAGCCTTACCGGGAGTACATCAGTTCACAACAGCAGTAGGCACACAGGAGTGGCCCACCTCGAAACAAATGCTTGGTCAGCGGGTGGTCAACGTTTAAAGAAATGCCTGGCGAGTGATAAAAAAGAACCAGCCCAATGACGTATGCATATGACAAACGAGAGCGTCTCTTGCCACACACACAACTTGATGCCGTCCCAGCAACAAACCCTACCTTGATGAGCTCTGCAGCAGCCACCTGGGCGCTCTGTCGCGCTTCCCTCTCGCGGGCCTCCAGGCTGAGTGCGCGCTCCTTGACGGCGCGGCACTCCGCATCAAGCGAGGCCACCCGTCTCTCGGCCATCTCCGCCCGTCTCGCCGCCGCCGAGCGTTCTACCTCTGCCTTGGCGTACTCGCCTTCAACGGCGAGTTGGCGACAAGACACAGAGAAAACGAAGCGGGAGCGGGGGTACTCATGGTGTGCATGCATTGGACCGGAGCACGATTAGGGCAGATCACCGATGGCTTATCGCTCCTTGCTATTTTGCGAAAGGTGGCTCGAAGATGTTTTTCCGTAGCCTTATCTGTCCTTTTGTATCGATGTCAAAAGCATACGACACGGGGTGTAAAGAAAGGTGGGAATGGAGAGAGAGCCGGCAGGAGACAGGCGTGTGTGCCAAGAACCAAAAACTCGACGCTCAATGTCTCCGGGCAGCGCGGGGGGGGG